ATTCTGGGATTTTCTGGCCATTGAAATAATAATTGGGAACTGCGTTTGCAAAGCGGGTTTTGAGTTTCACAGAACTCTCTCTCAAAATTGATTTTTTTTAAAAAAGGGGGGAGATGAAGGTGCCAGTTCTTCAGTGACGGGCGTAGCATTGGTTGAGTCATCAAAGGGTCATGCCAGGACCAAGGACCCCTTCAATCAAATGCCTTCTGCCATGGGCTCTTTTTGTAGCAGGAACTCCTTTGCATATTAGGCCACACACCCCTAATGTAGCCAATCCTCAATAGCTGGGGTGTGTGTGTGTGTTATATAAAGGACTGCAATGGCCGTGAACCTCAAGGGTGTGTTTACTAGTCTTCATTCTCAAGGAATTCTGGGATTTTCTGGCCATTGAAATAATAATTGGGAACTGCGTTTGCAATGCGGGTTTTGAGTTTCACAGAACTCTCTCTCAAAATGGATTTTTTTTAAAAAAGGGGGGAGATGAAGCTCAGCGAATGGCCTTGAGACAGTTACTCTGTCCTTCCGCCTAGTCTACTTCACAAAGCTGTTGTGACAGATAAACTGGAGGGGAGAACTATGTATGCAGTTCCAAATTTCCCAGAGGAAGTGTGGGATAAAATATGGCAGGCAGAGGAAAATTGTACAGCCGCACTGGAAGGCAAATCTGATTGCAACTGGAACCATTTCACCCATGTCCCATCTCGAGCACATTCAGGGTGAGAATGCCTGATCCAGTCCCAAATTCAACTGACACCTGCCTCAGGATTTTCCCTTCCTGCACCACCCTCTATGGGCTTCGGATGTCACTGAGAACCAGGTGAGCTTTGCTAAAATATTGTCACTGGTCTTCTGGCCACTGCTGTTCCCAGAGAACTCTGGCAGCGGACACAGTTTGTCAAAATACTTGGAACTCTGCAAAAGAAAGTATTGCTAAAAAACCTAAAGCGACAAGGTGAGTGGAGTCACATGGAGGGGGAATGAGGACCCACCTCAGACGAAGAAGGCAGGCTGAACTCTGGAGGGCTGCAAAGCACTTCTGATACCGTGGCAAGCCCATGTGCAAAGCTCATGCCCCTCCACTGCTGCAACTGCACGCATAACAGTGTGCATCATTCTGCCCCCTCTCCCCAAGAACGATTTCAGATGTGTAAAAACGGGCCAGGGCAAGCATTAGAAAAAAACAACAACCCATGGTTCCAAGCCTTTTCCTCTTCCCCCAAGGTCCTATTTGTGAGAATTCAGAAACCGGAGACCTGACCATATTATCTCATGCAGTTGCAGCGATCATGTTGTTGATATATGTGAGGCACACTTTACTAGTGGAATCCAGATCCTTCATTTGTAGAGGACTTCAAAGGATTAAATACATTCTGGAGTGACCGCCTTTTGCTGTTGCTGTTCAGTCGCACAGTTGAGTCTGACTCTTCGTGACCCCAGGACCACATCACGCCAGGCCCTCCTGTCTTCCGCTGTCCTCTGGAGTTTGCTCAATTTCATGTTTGTTGCATTGATAACACTGTCTAACCATCTCATCCTTTGCCGTCCCCATCTTCTTTGACCTTCAATATTTCCCAGCATCAGGGTCTTGTCCAGTGAGTGCTCCCTTCTCACTTGGTGGCCAAAGTATTTGAGCTTCAGCTTCAGTATCTGTCCTTCCAGGGAACAGTCAGGGTTGAATTCCTTTAGGATTAACTGATTTGATCTCCTTGCAGTCCAGGGACAAGCTTCCTAATAGCTATTATAGTTAAATGGAACCTCTATGTGCAATTTGTTGTTCCACGTGTGTGTGGGAGGGGGAATAGCAGGAGCTGGCTGTTGCCTCCGTGCTCTGCTTCTGGGCTTCCTGGAGGCATCTAGGCATGCTGGGTGAGATGGACCTCAAGTCTGATGCAGAAGAGCTCTCCTTCTGTTCTCAAACAACCCTGATGGGAGTGCTTAATGCTGCTGGCCTTCGTTTATGGAATGCAGCTCAGATGCTTTCCTCCCTTCTACAAGAGCACCCTCCACCCATTGACCAAAAGTCAGTGCTGGAGAACATTCCTTTCCCAGCCTGTTTACCTTGTGGGACAATGGGAGATGCCAAGGAACTGGGTGTGGGGGTTATGCTGAACTGCCCCTTGAAGAAGCAAGTTTCCCCTTATCAGCTCTGGGCAAAGTTCAGGGCTGAGTACACACAGGAGGGAATAAACAGGCTGGGCTGTTCCCCAGAGTGGTCCTGGACAGAGTTCTCTTCCTGTCTCCAGGAAGTGGCAACCAAGCCAGAACCTGCTGTGGGTACAGGGAAGACCTTTGCCCCATCCTTGGGAAAGCATATTCAAAAGAGGCACAGCCCACCACCACAGAGACCAGAGAGACAGAAATTTTGATGAGAATAATCTGCAAGCAACAAGAGAAAGGCAACAATTTGGGTGCATGGCTGACTCAAGGACTGGGGGAGGGCACAGTTGTTGCAAGCCATCTTTGGCGATCTTCTTTACCTCAGAAAAGGCCAGGCATACTAATTAAGGCTGCTCCCACTTTGCTTCAAACTTTTTTGAGCGGGCTACAGAAAGCAAGAATGACGGTACTGTTGAAAAGTGGACCCTCGACCAGTGAGAGCTCAGCTTCATCATGTTCAGCTGTCCGCCCCAGGGGGGCAGAGCCCACCTTCAAAGACACTACAGGCATGAACTAAAACCTGAGTTTGCCTCCACTCAACAGGACCCAGAAGGATGCTGCTGAAAAGGACTGGGAAATTCAGCACGTCAGACAACTTCCCATCCAATGAGGTAAGGAAAACCTAGCTCTGCCTGATCGCTACCTGTATACAGGGAAATAGGAAGGGCAAGGCAGTTCAGACTGGGGTTGGTGTTTTACATCTCAGGCTCACCATTAGGGATGTGCATTCGGTTCATCCGAACCGAATGCACCCCAAAAATTGCTCATTCGGGCTCCTTTCAGGCTGCTGTGGGCCAATTCAGATTCTCTGATCTGAATTGGCTTGCCACCGAAATTCGGCAGCAATTCGGCCTCATTATATCCTATGGGCCATTGAAGTCAATGGTGAAAACATAGGGTATTCTGGGGGCTGGAGGGAAGGGAGGGGGTTTGAGGGAGAGTCTGACTGCTGGGTGCTGCCTGCTTGCCTGCCTTAAATGCTGCTGGCTGAGTTTCCCCATTGGAAACAATGGAGGTAATGGGGGTAACCTGTTTGGGTGCCCATAGAACTGAGCCCACTGGTCCAATTGCTTTGGGACATGGGGGTTTATGTGGGGAGAGGCTCCCAAAGCTACCCTGAAAATTTGGAGCCTCTCCCTCAAACCCCCTCCCCCCCAGAGCCACTAACAGCATCATGGGAAAAAGTAACTTTTCCCCCACCATAGAGAACAATGGAGGGGATGGGGGCAACCTGTTTGGGGGCCCGTAGAATTGGACCCCCTGGTCCAATGTTCTTAAAACGTGGTGGGTATCTTGGGGAGAGGCTCCAGCAGCTACCCTGCAAGTTCGGAGCCTCACCCTCAAACCCCCTCCCCTCCAGCCCCCAGAATATACCCTAGGTTTTCGCTATTGACTTCAATGGCCCATAGGATATAATGGGGCTGAAATTGACATTCGTCTGGCCAAAGACTCCCAAATCTCCTACTGACGAAACTGACATGTGGGAGTCTTACTGCCCCCGAAATTGATTCTGCCTGATTCAGCCAAATCCGAATCCGCCAATTTTTTTTTTTTGCACACCCCTACTCACCAGAGGTATGCAAAACCAGCACAGCTCTGAGCTGAGCACTTGTGTGTGCTGGCTGCCCTACATGAGGCAGCAGCCTTGCGTGTGGGATCTGCCTATCATAGTCATTCACTGGACAACATTTGAAGCTCACCCAGAAAAGTAAACAAACTCATTCAAAAATCTACAGGGCTGCAGTCACCAAATCTAGCAATCACTGCAGAATCCTGAGATTCCCCCCTCCTTTAAATGCCAAGCTTCTAGGCGACACGGATGTAGAATAACATTCTTTTTGCTATATGCTTAAAAATAAATGACCTGGTAGATTTTACAACGTTTCAGGAGCATTTCTGCATTTCCACTAACCTTCTGCATTTCACCTTGGTTCCTAGAGCTCATAGGCCTCCTCTCACATTATACAGTGACAGATGGTAAATGTACTTGGGGATAAATCTAACCCAAACCCTGAAAAAAACATGATGAAACAGGCTCTGTGTCCTAGCTGAAGCTGGCTGTGCCAGGGAAAATGACAAGTAACTCCTGCTACAGCAGAGGCATGCATACAGTTGGGAGAGCCACTGCCAGAAGATACAGTACTGCGCAGGGTAGACCACCAATCTAACTCCCTGCAAGGCAGTATCTTCAGCTCAATACCCTTTTCTGTGTTTGGGTAGAAAGTGCAATGCCTTGAAAAATGACAGCACCTTCCTCTCACTTTTATTCCAAGTAAGTATTTCATTTTTTGTCTAGATGGTTCAAATGAACCCAGGAACAAAAGCTGAGATGGCTGTGGGTGCATTCATTTTGATCTGCTTCTGCTTCGAGGGGTTTTAGTGTCTTCTTTCTATTGTGCCCAACTCTGGACTGAAGAAATGGGTTAGCTTAGAACGGTATAAGTATCAGGCTTGGGGAAAGGCTGAGAAGAAGCAACTTTTAAGTGGGGGAAGGTGGAGACACCAACACCAGCTGCCAAGATCTTCCTCACCTTTGGACACCTTAAGGTGGCATTTATTTATGGTTGCCTCTCCCAGATGGAGGGCATCTACCACATTTTCCAAATTCACTGCTACATCTTGCTTTGTGGCCAGGCCACAATGACACACAGCAGTGTGGGGAGGGAGCCCTCCAGCCCACTAAAGAACTGGACAGGGCTAAAGACCAGAAAAGCCCCATCTAACATGCCTAGCTGTGCTTCTTTTACGGGAGAGCTCTTCCTGCTATGAGCAGCATAGTTTTGTTCCAAAGACACCAAGGAACATTCAACACAAGGCTTCTGTTCATATTGTTTAATTATAAAATGCAAAGTGTATCCATGCATCCACTGTCAGTTGGGGGGGGGCAGGGGAAGGAAAGGGAGAGAAAGGAGGCAAAAAGGTTTTTGTGCCTTTCCCCGAGACTGCAACAGGGGGAAATCTGCAGGAGGCATCTGTCACTGGCAGTAGGGGCTTGACTAGTCCAGCTGTGCTCCAAGCCACACTGGAGAAGCCTGCACACGCTCACACACACACATTATATAGATATATACACACAGGCATCCTCCAGCATGCACACACACACACAAATACGGGCAGCCCAAACATGGCAAAGAATCCTTCGATGCTGCTGTTTGGGCAACAATGTTTAAGACAAGGCCTCTTTCTCCATGGCCCCTAAGCAGGACCACTGGGGGGCTGCTGAAGTCAAAGACAGCCAGAGCCTGAAGAAGAACCTGCTGCTCCAGGGGGGCCCTGGAAAGACAGGGCTGGAAGGAGTTCTGAGGCAGTGGGTTACGTAGCCAACCATCGGCCAGGATGCTCAGGAGCGGCTTCGGTCCTCGTGGTTGCCCACAATCATCTTGCTGTAGAGCTTCTGCTGCTCCTCCTTGAATGTGTCCTTCACCTTCTCCCTCTTTAGACCTCCATCCCTAGAAAGGAGCGGGGTGGGAGGGGGACAACGGAGAACAATGAAATCCTGGATAGAAAATTCACTCAAACTCTGTTGGGAGAGGCAGGCAGGGTCAACACTCCACCCTCCAGCCCAATAAAAAATGTGGCAAGGACAGACAGAGAGGAGGAGCTTGCACTTCACTCCCATGGCCCAGCTGGTTTCAAAAAGGTCTCCTCCCACTGTGAGAATCATAGCTCTACAGCATCTTTGAGCGGTACAGCTGAGCCGGCCAAGAACACTGGCACAAGAGGAGGGGTGGGTTATTTGTGAACGAGAAATAGTAAAGAAATATCCAGGGGAAGCTGGGGTGGGTGGGGCGGAGGGAAGAAGCAGAGATGCTGAAAGAGGAGAATGGGGAACAAAGACCTTCCAGCCAAATTTTAATGTCTACACAATGGCAAGATCTCATTCGAACAGTAATTTCATTTTATCCACCCCGTACATGAACCTCATGCATGCATTTTCACCTCTGATGACATGGGATTTATGGGCTGTGTACATGTACACTGCAATCAGGCAGAGATGGCACGAGGGGGGGGCGGTGAGGGGGGGGGGGGGGGGAGATGGGCGGACCATGTGCGTGATTAGAGTACAGGTTCTCTATTTCTTCCATGCCCGACAATATCTTCCATGTAGAAAAAGTATTCAGGTGCAAAGCAATCTGCAGCCTTCAAGCTTCAATGTGGTATTCAGGCCAGAGACTTGTCCTAGTGGCTGTTCCCATTAACAGATTACAGTTGAATTCCAGCTCCTGAACACCAGAAGCTGCACCATATTTAAACCCCCTAGGTTTGGTGAAGGGTAGAAAGAAATGGCCTCCTAGATGCCACTGGCAACTCTCTTACCTTTCCAAGTTTAAAACTACATTTAGTGGTGGTGGTGTTTCTAAAGCCCCAAAGCAGGCTGCATCCAAACAGAAGAAATGTATTTAGGAAGAGGCTGCAGAATACTTTGTCCTCCTGTCTTTTTTCCCTCAGAATTTGCCTCCCTAAGCTATTTTCCCACCTGCAGGGGGGAAGGGGAGATGCCGGGTTCCAGTCGCTTCCCTGTAGCACTCCCCACCCACCCACTATGGGGGGGGGGGAAGAAACTTGGGGAAGATAACTTTGAACTGAAATAACTCGAGAACAAAAAGTTCAGCAGACTTTTTCCTACCCGAATTTTGTTTGCTCAGACACAGCCTGGTTTGGGTTTAAAAAGAAATGCAGAAGAAGCAAAGAAACCCTCCGGATGTGTGATATGAACAGGAGGATGCCACAGGCCTAGGGTTGTGCTGACCCAACAAAACTATGGGATGGCTGTGGCTCAGAGGCACAGCACTTCCTTGGCATGGAGAAGATGAATAGGTATAAACACAGGAATGAATGGACCAATACTCTGATGGAGCAAGCAGCCCAAGGACTAGGAGTTCAGGGAACCTGCCCCCTTCCAGCCTCCTCCCCAGAGAACAGTCACAAGACAGCTTTGCTTGAGGACTCACCATAAGAGATCCACAAGGCCCCCCTGCTGAGCAATGGCAGACTTCACCCGGTTGGCAAACTGCACAGCATCCTCATCAGCCTGAGGGAGAAGAGAGTCAGTCAGCACTGGAAAAGGGGGGGGGGGGGAAGGGCATGGTTGCCAAGCCACCTGCTCACCCACCATCAGCCCAATCCCAGCCCAGTTCGCTCACCTGCCGGGTCATCGGGGGCAAGTACCAGACACTGCAGACAACTGCCCAGCTGCTCATCATCCTGAGCAAATAGGTCACCATGCCATATTTGCTGCTATTAAAAAAGGCGTCTCCAAACTGGGGGTCATACTGAAGGACAGAAATAGGGGGAGCAAGACAGTGAAACATTCTGACACCGACCAGGGCCACGCCCAAGCCGAAAGCACCATCAAAGCTAGAGGGATTCTACACCTCCCATCCTCTATGGCCTACAGAATGCAACAAGAAACATCCCGTTAGCAACTGCCTAAAAGAAAGCGTTCCAATCGATGTATTTGAGGTATCTGATGTGTACTGTACCCTTTCTTCAAGGAGCTCAGGGCAGCAGACCCTATTTACCCCACTGTAGCTTCACAACAACCCTGTGAGGTAGGTAAAAGCCAGCTGCACAGAATGCTGATTGCTGGATCCCTAGGGCAACTTTGACGCCCCTACCCCTGAGCAATGCTTCAGTTTAAAAAACAACCCAGATCAGTGGAGGTGCATTAAGGGCATCACATCGACATTTATCTGTTTAAACACGATGGGCACCTGAAAAGGGTAAAAAAAGAACACCCAGGCCCGTCCAAACCATGGAGAGGCAGAAATATGTGCTGTAGCCAGAGAGGGGTATGTGGGTCAGCAGAGGAGCAGGAAGAGTGAGAACAAAAGTTCACCCTCCAGCCTCCCCCCCCCTCCAGCTCCTGGAGGCAGACACGCCCCCATCTAGGATCCACACCCATCTGCCCACTGTTCTTGAAGAATCTGAAATGGCAAATCAGAGCCATGTTTTTCGAGGCATGTCTACTACCATGAAAGACAAAAGTGTACTTTATTTTAAGTGGAAGCTGAGATTACACACACACACACACACACACACACAAGTATGGAAGGCAAACAGTTCTTGAACAGAACTAAAGGCTGTGGAAATCTGCCCAACCATCCGCACCTAAGATCGGCACACAATCTTTCTTAAAAATCCCAGGACTCTCTCCTAAATGTTACATATCTAGGCTTGTGTGGCTAGAGATAATATTTTAAAATAGAAAGCTGAGATCTGGGCAGGTTTCTGGTGACTCAGGAGACATCAGAAAAGCACAACATGAAAGGCAAGGAAAGGATTTATTGAACAGCTCAACACAGTTCAAGGTGTTTAAAGAAATCTTTGGGGTAAACTCAGCTAAGGGAGGGGCAGGGACCTCTTCTAAGATTGTACTTGTACAGCAAAGTGAAACTGCTGATTACCCACTCCCCATGCACCATCCTGAGCACGTCATTCTGCCCTCAGGGATTTATCTCCACCCCTCCTTCTAGTGTTTTCGCATTCATCTGAAGTACTTCCACAAACTATTCGCTCTTGTGTGGCTCCCATTCATTTTGACAGGGCTCTTGCAACAGAACTTCCCAATGGTTTGTGTACTTATGCTGGTCGATTTTCAGCTTCACATAATTTGATTCTTCAGAGTACCAGGGCCTGGGTTTCATACTACAGCATTCTAGAACCCTTGCCCGTAAGACTGCATGATTTCTCCATGCTGGCCTCAGAGAGATTCTGCTCTCCAGCTCTACCCAGCAAACTTCAGGATGCTTTGCTAAAGGGTGACTGTTTCTCACCTTGATGGCAACAGGATAAACTGTGGCACCGATCTCAAAGCTCCCTTTCTTGAACATCATTACGGATGTGTTGTTGATGCAGGTGCCTGTCGAGAGAAACAGTGTCACTGCAAGACCCGTTATCATTGGTGCAGCACAGCACGGAACAGAATGAGTCCTCAAAGCTATCAATAGCAGGGAGTGTTTGCATGAAGGCAATTTAAGTCCAGGGGTGCCAGTCTCGATGCAGTCTGACTGGCATCTTTGGTTGCAAAGGGCTTTCACCCTAGAGGTGTGGCTCTCCCAAACTCCATCATGGTCAGGTTTGAATGCAATACCCAAAAAATCAGGGTTGTGAATTCATTCAGTTCTAGGCTTTAAATTCCCAACTCCCATTTCCATCCATCCATAAACTGGAACACCATGGCAACATGGAATGGAGCCTCACAGGAGTGACTTGTCTGCTTCAGTTCCTGCTTACCTTCTGGGAAAATCAGGATGGGTAATTTGCTTTTATCCTGAGCATGCTCCGACAGTCTGCAGGCAGAAAGAGAGAGACTCAGTCTGTGCGCATGTTACCAATTACCACATCTTTGGCTGCTTCAAAGGGAGATTCCACCAGTGAGCCTACAAGGTCCTCCCACCAACCAGTCATCTTTATTTAGAAGCCCACCACCCACACCCTGAAAGCGCCATCTTCCTGCAAGTGTTCGCTAACAATTCCCTCTACCTAGACCGAGCACAGGGGGGACTGTGCCCATACCTTCTGGCTACTAGATGACGATCCTTAACCTCAGAGCGTTCAAACCACACATGGGGACATGCCTTCACCATGGCCCTCTGGATCATCCCCATGAGTCCTCCGTGAACCTGGCCCACCTAAGTCAGAGAAAAGATTGTAGTGCTAGACGGAAGATGAAGAGACAGCCTCTTGCCTTCATGGGCAGCTTTAGCCCCCCCCCCCCCCCATTAAGACAGCCTTCCCAAACAAGAAGTATTTTAACTTACAAAGAGGTTCATGCATCTTTAATTGCATAAAAACATGCCAGGTTGCAGGGCATGGGACAAGAGGGTTAACTTTTGTCACCACCTCAGTGGTTGGGGTGCCGGTCTCACAGAAAACGGAGGGACTCCCCCCTTCCTTCTTCATCTGCAGGCATGGGGGAGGGGAGGCCCCAGACAGCACTGAGAAAGAACACAGTCTTCCTTTGACCCATGTGATGTCAAGACAGCAAACTGTTCAAGTGTGCGTCCTCCTCCAGAGAGTGGGAAGGGGCGGAGAAGCTCAGTGAACCTCAAGGAGCATCACCCCCACCCCATAAGACTGAGAGTGTGTCCCTGCACTCACCATGGCATAGTAGCCATCACTGGCCAGAATTATGACATCAATAGGAGATGTATGGTTAGCCACACAGATCCCTCCATTGCGGGGTCGGTTTTCCCTGAAGATGGGAGGAAAAGAAATTAGCATGAAAGACCAAAGGTCAAATGCCATTGGCTCTGGAAGAGAATTAGAGAGAGGTTCTCTCTCAGGTGCCACCCCTTCCTAAGCATCCACCTTCCCATGAGCAATAACCCTTCATGTCCAGTAATACAGATGGTGACCCAGTTAACATACCAAAGGCATGCCTGTGTGCAGTTTGCACAAAACTGACATTACATTCACATTGCTTAATTCTGTGACCTGTGATATGAAAATCAAACTGACTGCATTTTTTCTTGGGTGGAGGAAGGAGTTATTTGGAGCACTGAAGCCCCACCCTTTGAACCCTGAAACCTGATCCATTCACTCTGAAGTATGTGAGTTTTCACTACTACTGCCCACACAGTTCTGTGTGTTGCTTTGCAAACATAAAGGACTACACACTAGAAATTAAAAAGAAGAAGCTAAGATACCTACAAATGTGTCCAATATACCATATTTTGCAGGGTTTCCCATGGAATGCACAAGACTAATCAGTGTCAACAATTATCTTCCTCGGGAAAATCAACCATACCCTCCCACCCAATCCCCTGCATACCGGTGGTGGTAGGTGATGATTGCTGTGAGGGCTCGCACACAGATCCGATAGCACATCAGGTGGACATGCCTGCTCAAAAACTCTTTGCACCTGAAACGGCAAGGCAATCACCTTGATAGGTAGCCTCAATCTGAGGAATAAATTCCTTATAAGTTTAAGAAAAAGATGAAAAGCCAGGCCACATCGCAGGCAACTTCTAGTGGTTCTGGGAGCACTCCACAGGACAAGTGAACTTTACAATGACCACTGCTGGGGTCTCTCTTCCCAGCCCATCAGGAGAATGGCTCTGAAACAGAAAGCCTCTTTCCAGGTGATCTGGTCACAAGGAATGACTCCGAGTCCAACCTGCTGATACCCAACAGTAGAGATGTAAAATTTCCGGAAATTTTGAAGCTCGGAAAAAAACCCGGGGTTTTTTCCGGTTTTTTCTGGGGGAAAACGGAAATTTTAGGAAAAATTGAAAAAATGCTACATTAGCATTTCTTTTGTCTTTTCTAGATTGAAAGTCATTCTGTTACTTTGGGAACATAAAATATGACTATGGACATTTTTACTTGGCATGAAATTATCACAATTAGCATATTAAAAATATAGTGTATCCAAACAATTATTTCAAACAGAAAAGCAAAACTGAAACTTTTTTATTTTCTTCTGACAATCACACCTCCTAAAGGAAGAAATGCATCTTGTTCTTGCATTGGAGGGTTCAGTTTGTAACCTAGGACTTGCTTGTCCTCAGTGCACAGAAATTAGATCAATCTGATACCATATATATATATTTTAGAAATGATTTGAAAAATATTTGAACACCTTGTCTTAAAATATTTTATTCATCATGTTAAAATAAAACGTTCCATAATCAATTTTTTTTCTTTTTTCAATTTTTCCAATTTTTCGGGAAAAAACAAAAAAATTTTCCGTTTTTTTTCCGGGCCTTCACATCTCTACCCAGCAGACTCCAGTCCTTTTTCAAGCAGATTTCATAGTAGGATCAGGAAGGAGGATTCTGTGCTTTCCTGGGATGGCACCTCCTGTGTGAAGTGGCCAAGTACAACCCTTCCTTGACAACAACCCTGTCAGGTAGGTTAGGCTGAGAGGTCACCCAAGTAATGGTCACATCTGAGAAGGGAGGGGGATCTTTGCAGCAGTCCAAAGGCTGAGAACTCACCTTCCATTGGGCAAGTAGCCCACCACTGTAGTGCTGGTTATCAAGAGGCTAATGCCAGTGAAAGCCAGGGCTACCCTGCACAAGGGAGAAAAAGACAGGGAAATGAAGCACAAATTTCAGAGGAGATGGAGGAGGGAGGACTGCCACTGCACTGGTCCCCAGACATATCAAACAGTGGAATGATTACTATGATAAAATACTGCCCACTTCTGCTCTCCAGCTCCTAGCCTTGTTCTCCTACCAGGGCAGAGAATGGGTAACACAAAATGCCTGACCTGGTTTTTCCACACACCTTTAATGACCTGGTCATTCCACAGATCTTTATTGGTGTTTCTATTGGGAGGCCCTAAGCAATGCTGGATCTTACCGGAGTGGCAGCAAAAAGCAGTAGCGGATGATGACGCCCAGCCCCCAGAGGACTGTGAGCCGCAGGCTGATGTAATGGAAGTTGTAGTTGGTCCTGCTCAGCAGATTCCAGGACGCCAGCTCTTCAGCCGAGAAGCGCTTGGTCACCTCGTCATCCATGATCGTCTCCATGCCCTTGCGGCAGAAGTAGAAGATGTCGGAAAGCTCAAACTCGGAGGCATCCAGGGCCTTGTTGCTATTGCTCCGTCGGATCTCCTTGATCTCCTCCTCCAGTGAAGTGGGCTCCTTTTCAATGATACCTAAAGCAAAACACACCCTGGGAGTTCCAGCCAGACACAGTGAAGGGACGAGGGACCCAGTCTGCATCCCTCCTTACCCCGGGAGAAGGTGACATCTTACCATTGGCATAGGGCTTGTAAAGTGGATGGTTCTTCTCTTTGGCACCCCGCTCAATCCTCAGTGTTGCCCACTGCAAAAGATGAGAAACTAGATCCTAACACACAATAAACTTCTGTTACCTCTCAAAAAGTGCCCTTCTTAGTCTGTGTCAATGCCAGGAATAAAATAAGCCCCGAGCACTGATCCATGGAGGAAGTTTCCAGAAATGATTTGAAGTGTCTTGGGCTCTAAAGGCAGACTCAAGACTTGTAACACCCCATTTCCTGTACAACTACTTCATAAGGACCCACTGAGCCCAACTGCTCTTCCTTCCCTCCTCAATGACAAAGGCCTCAAATCATCCCAAACTCAGTAATCTCCCATTCAGTTTACAACACGGTATTATTTGCCCTGAAAAACTTTACTGCACCTCACTTCCTGACAGGAGTGAGTGCAACAGAGTGTACGACTCCTTCCTTGGCTCGACAACTCTCAACAAGCACTCTGGGGTCCAATATAAGAACCGGTAATGACCTTTAACACCATAAGCGGACTGGGGCTTGTGTACCTGATGGAGCAACTCCTCAGGAAAGGGACAGAGCTCAGCAGCAGAGCATCTGCTTTTCACATACCAGGTCCCAGGTTCAATCCTTGGCATTTCCAGTTGGCAGGACCTCAGGCTGGGATAACCTTCTGCTTTTCAGACCTCAGAAAGCCACAGCCAGTTTCAAGAAGACAGTGAGTCAAGAAGCCCATGGTCTAACTCTGCGTAGGGCAACTTCATGTGCGCTTTTCCTTTTTTTTCTCAGGCCCACGGGGGAAATCCTGCTCGGCATCCTTTTGAAAGCACTGAACGTACAGAGCTGGGCTTGCACCCATGCTATAGCATAACTTACCTAGTGGGGTCTCATTCAGCCCCTACTCTGCCAGCTTTTCAGTGTCAAGCAAAAACCTGCCCCTTTCAAAAGGCTTTCTCTGCTGGCTAATTGGAGGGTTTCATCTGCTGCTATATTTATTAATTCTTTTCTCTTGCAATGGGTGATTTATTTATTACAAAGGGTATGCTGGGGTTGTTCTTGACTTTTCTGATTTCAGATTATTTTTGTTTCCCCACTTTGGATAACGTCCACCAGAAACACAGTCTCCATATGCTTAAATAAGTAACAGAAGCTTCTCAGTCTAATCATAAGGAAGGACGTGGGATTTTACTGAGAAAACAACTTCAGGATCTGGATTATAAAAACCAGTAGCTTGATTTCCAGCCTGACAGACAATAGCTCTGCAAAACAGGAAAGGGCTGGCCAAGCCTGAGAAAGACCTCTGGAAAGCTTTGGTGGAACAGAGTTGCCAATCTGTGGAGGCTTAGGAGAAAGAACAGCCCCCCCCCCCTCACTGTCTCGAACTGACCTTCAGGTGACACAATAACTGGCAGGAATCCCCTAAACAAGGCCAAGGGCAAAGCTCTTTTTTTCTTTGCCAGATGTTCTTGCTGCCAGTATATTGGCTTTTGCCTGCCTAACCTTTGTCTCTCGCAGGAGACAGGCAGGGGGGCTCTGCTGAAGCTGGGCGGAGGGCCCTGGGGCTGCTGGTCCTGACGTGATTAGAAGCAGAAGATAAATTTTGAGTTTGCTCATACAGCCCAGCTGGGGCAAAGCTCCGCCCCCACCCTGCCCCCACCACAATAGCTGTTGCTTCCTTTGGCTCAAATTGTTTATCTAGCTGTCATCAGTGGTATTTTCCAACCCCACCATATAATCCAGAAGGATCTCCAAAGCTGCTCACATAAAATAACAAAATATTATAATTGAAACTGGGGCTACCTCCATTCTCCCCAACATACTACTTTGCCTTGGGGAGGCAGCCCCTCCACCCGATTATCCTTCATCCCACCTCCCTCTCCCTAACTGCTGGCACTTGGGTAGTCTGTCGCCTGGCCAGCTGCCCAGCCATGCACTCCTGGCTCCCTTCCCCAGAGGGCTGCAGGTCTTTTGACTATCCCAAGGCAACAGGGGACGCTGCCGGGGACAACAGCTGAGATGCTGAGCAACAGACTATCCGTGCCACTTTCAGGCAGTATGCCAAGGGCCAGGCTTGCCTCCACAGTACGCTAAGGTCAGCTTCTTCTCTCAAGGGCACAGCACACAGGCTTGTTTTCAGATAAATTGGCTTATCTCTCTCTCTCTCTCTCTCTCTGACAGCCAGTGTAACACGGGCTTCCACAACAGACTCCTAAGCAGGGATGAACACATGATGCAATTTTGTGGAAGTTCCTAACGTGGTGTGAGGCAGCGTTCAGCACCCAAGGAAAGAAAAAACAAACAAAACCAAGTCTCTATCCCTTATGACTGTGAAGACTTGCTTGAATACATGTGGGCAATGCCTGGTGAAGCCTGAGAGTGTGTGCACATGTATGAGAGTTCCAGGATGCAGGGCTTCAACACCTCACATGATTTCTTGTCTTCTTTCTATGATAGTGAAATCATAATACATCTTGTAAAGCTGTACAAGATAAACAGGGCACCTGAAGTTGCTCAATTTGTGTAATTTATACTGATGAGAGCTGAGCTTGTTTGGGAGGACAAAGCACAAGGTCTGTTTGCAAAGACAATGTAAGGACAGCTCCTCCTCTCTCAGTGTCAGTCAGACAGAACAGCCCAGGGGAAGGCAGAGGACAGGAGAAAAAACTGAAAGAGGACTGAAGTTTTGCTCCTCTCCTTAAAATGACTTCTAGCATTGCCAAGTTGTAAAATCTATGGGAGCTCAACTGAAAGCTGCCAAGGAGAAACCAACTCCCACTAACAAAGACAGCTTGGCTTGCTTTGGGATAGGAACATTTGACAGAAGTCGCTACACCTGCAGCGTGCAGGCACATAGGAGACCTTGTTTGGTTAGCAACTGGCCAAGGGAGAACATAGACAAGTTTCGTACATTTGCATGGCAGGGCCAAACTCCCTCATCATGCAGCTGCTCTCTTTGCTTATCTCCAATGGAGGAAGCAAACCACAGTGCTTGCCCTTATCGGAACAGCATGGCACAGATGGATGGTTTACTTTCCCCAATGCTCTAAAAACAGGAATTCTAAAGCTTGACTATGACACGTTTTTCCAAGATCCAGAAAACATAGTTTAAAGCTCTCCAAGTGAAGCTGAGATAAAGTCTGGACAGTGATGCTCATTCAAAATGGGGTGAATGTGTTTGTAAACCAACCCAGAAGCAGGGTATGCACTCGTCCTGCCTTCCCACTGCCCCGTCCCTTTTACCTGTAAATCAAGCATTTTATAAAACCCACTTGGGTCCATGGAGAATTAACTTGGTAGTAATGGAACCAAGTTCTCAAAAGTGGATCAAGGAAAGCTCCTGTGCTTGTTTTAAACCAGGTTCAGAACCTGGCTCCAATACTACCAAGTTAATTTCCCTTCATTCCCCTGTTCCTTCTCTGTTTTTTATTGCTTATTAGAGTGTATACCTGCAAGAAGGGCCCACCTTTGATGTCATCTGACTTGTAACTCTTTGATATGAAAGCCCTTCTTTTAAAAATATTGTTATTATTCTTATTGTAATCCAGGTTGGTGACAAACCCTTGCAGGAAGGGGAAATTCACACACCATTCCCAAAAAGCCACTCATCTACATGTCTGTACCACCCCTCAGGAAAGAGCCTGAGAGATAAATAAACAGAGGGGAAACTGGTTCACAAAGGCCCATTGCAGGCTTTCAGGTTGCTAGGAAGGCTGACCTTAAACAATCACAGAAAGGTAAAAGCATGATCCCCCCCCACACACACACACACTTTCAATAAACACAAGACACAGTGTAAGAAGCATGCTTGTACTTCTCCCGGTGCCTGCACTTTCCTAGGAAGGTAGATCCCATCCTCGCCCTTTTTATAAAAACACGATCTTACAAACTCCCAGTTCTCAGAATCTAGATGATTCCAACGTAAAGTCTATCTGGAACTGCTACTCCCTGATCTGGAAGCCCACCGCCCTCCATCTCTGGCATGTGGGAAATCTCCGTAGTTATTTATTCAATAGTAAAAGCACACTTTGCATCAGCTCAGGATCACCTTCTTTTGTTCTTCAGCTAGGCCTCAGCAGTTGAAACAGATGGCAGAACAAAATACAAGTCTACTAACACCTTAGAGCAGTGTTCCCTCTAAGCTGAGTTAGTGTGAGCCAGCTCACAGTTTTTTAGCCTCCAGCTCACACATTTTTGTCTTTGCTTAGGAAGGATGGCACCAGAGCAAACTAATTTATGCAGTTGCCAAATCGCTCACTCACAACTTTAACACCAGTAGCTCACAAAGTAGAAGTTTTGCTCACAAGACTCCACAGCTTAGAGGGAACATTGCCTTAGAGACCAACCCCCCCCCCCCATAAGCTTTTGAGAGTCAAACCTCTCTTTGTCAGAAGCGAAATGAAAGCTTATGCCCGGGAAAATTCCGTTGGGACTCTTAAGCCACTACTGGGCTCAAATCTTGTTCTACTAACACGGCTGCCTCCCTGAAAAGACGCTAGAACGGAACCCTACTACAAATTAGGCCTGGAGCAAGACACATCTGAAGCTGAAATAAGCACCTACACACACACACACCTAGCAGGGCCAGTTGTTCAGAAGCTCTTTAGGGCTGTGATTCATTGCTTCAGCTCTGCTACCGACAGAGCCCACACCCCAAAGTACATTCCCCCACAATAACATTAAGTAGCCTGACTCACCTGGAATATCTGCAACAGGGTTTTCATATAAAGCCTACGGATGCCAAAGGAAACCCCAAAGATGGCTGGCACGATAATGAAAATCAACAGCAGAGTGAAGAGGACAGTCAGGGAAATGCCCAGCAGGTTAACCACCAGGCTGTCAAAGGGCAGGAGTGGAAACATGATGAGGGGGAGGGGGACAGGCAAGGCCAGCACTTTGCAAGACCCTGAGGCAGGCAGGAAGAGGCTGCCTGGGGCAGTTAGCCAGTTCTCCTGTTAATCAGCAGCCTTGTGCATATAGGTCCCTGGCCTATTATAGGCTCCATTTCTAAGTTCACACCTTTCCCACAGAGGGCATGGAGTGGCCAAGAACTCCCATGATCCAGACTGGAAACAGGCCACAGCACAAACAGAAACGGTGAGGGCAGGCAAGCTACACAGTAATGGTTGCCCGAAGAATACCAGATTAAGGAAGCAGAGAAGGGCTTGTGCACAGCTTCTGGAAAACCAGGATGATAAAGTCTCTCTGAGTTGTCAAGTGCATAAAATTCTGAGTTGAACTCCGTTATCTTGCCCTGTGTTTGAGCAAAACTCAACTGCCTGCAGCACTACAGTCTTTTCTGGGACAGAAGGACCAGCTCCAAGTCTCTCATGCTGCTGGCACCAAGTGTTGCTCTGAAGGTCTCCAGTTCTTGTCTGCAGAGCTAAGACAGGTACCCACTTGGTAGATTCTCTGGAGAGCAAGGGAATCACATGTCTCAAGTGCTAGGGTAAGAAAGAGAAAGAGTCAGGTATACTATTTATTCATTTAGAAAAGTTCTTGGCCAGCTATCCAGCAAATCTGCCTTGAGGCAGCTTACAAAATAAAACTTTGGTAATAAATAAAGCATTATGGAAGGTTTAATTAAAATCCAGCATTAAACACCCAGCACAAGTATAAAAGACAGAACACACAGAGCAGCTTAACAGCATTTATTTATTTATCAGACTTATGCCCTGCCCTCCCAGCAACGGCTTAAACATTTATCAGGCTAAAAACAGACTACAAAAAGATGTTTTCTAAAAATCAACCCCTTAATTAAAAACATGAGTAGAAAGAAACGTTTTGGCCAGGTTTGTAAAAGGGAATAGTGAGGGTGCCAGGTGAGCCTCGGGTGGATGGGAATTCTACAGGTGAAGTGCCACAGCTGAAAAGCTCTGATTCTCAGTACCACCCACCTCACTTCTGAGAGTAGGTGAGCAGAGAGAAAAGGCTTGTGAGGAAGATTTTAGCTGACAGGCTGAACAGTACCTCCAAGCTACAACCCTGCTCTTTCAGAGGAAGCAGACCCCCTCCACAACAGGCTGACTCTGCTATCCTTGAGCAGATTCTCCACTGATCAACAGCACCTCAGTCGTGTCCAGATTTCCTGTTTTGGGCCTGTTCAGGACTTCCGCCAGCCCACCTGAGTCAGCTTTTAAAGAGAAATAGAGCTGGGCATCATTGATTGGACCTTACTCCAAATTCCCTGAAGATCTCTCCCAGCAGTTTCAAGTAGATGTTAGACAGCAAGGGGGACAAGATGGATCCCCGCAGGTCCCCACAGCATAAATGTAGTAGTCCCCCAGCACCACTTTCTGGAATTGTTCAGTCAAAGAAATGCAGAACTACCGTAGCATGGCATACTTTACTCCCATCCCAGTCAGTTTCTCCAAAAGAATATGACCGATGGTATTGAAAGCTACAAAGAGATCCATCTGAGAATCAACAGGGACAAACTCCCCCATCACTTCCAGTGAAGGTCATCAGACAGGGCGGCCAAGGCCATTTGTCCTTGGTCTGAATGCAGATTTAAATTGATCCAGATAATCCATCTCCTTCAAGGCTGCCTGAAGTTGTATAGCCACCATCTCCTTAAGCACCTTGCGCAAAAAGGAACGTTGGCCCCTGCGCAGCAACTGTTCGCGTCAGTGGGGTTCAGAGATACCTCCTTCAGGAGAGGTTTCATGATGGCCTCTTTCAAAGCCACTGGAACTACACCATCTTGCGGAGAGGCATTTATTACTTGTCAGACTCACTTGGCCAGCCCAGCCAGGCTGGGCATATCTAACCAGTGACAACAAAATAGGGAGGACTGTTAGCTCTAGGACAGCAGAAGAGCACATGCTTTGTATGCCAGTGGCCCCACATTCAACTCCTGGTGTCTCCAGATAAAGGACATCAGGCAGCACATACCGGAAGAGATGCTTCTCTGCCTGAGTCCTTCAAGAAACACGGTCAGCCAGAGAAGATGATACTGAGCTAGATGGACCAATAGTCTGACTTGGTAATACTGGAGAAGTCCCCAAAAATGGAGAGAGGGAGAAAACCAACTCATCCTGCTATAACAGTTCACAATTTTTCTCAGCCAGCCAGCCTGCCCACATGTACCTATCATTTTTTTTACCTTCAAAGAATTTTTTCTAAAGCCCTGAAATCTTCTCTGCTGGCTGTTTAGAGGCACAATGTTCTTTACAAGCCTGGCATATCAACGTGTTTTATACTAACTTTTTAAACAAAAACCTATGACAAAGAGTATCAATTTAAAAAGCAACTCCAGAGCCTATGAACAGTCTAGAGAATCAGACTGTATTGCCAATTTTAAGGCATGTGGAACACCAGGAAACCCAGGCAACCTCCTCCAAGCTTTTCCAAAAGCACAAAGCACACATACATACTAGGGGTCGAGGTCTCTCCCCCCCCCCCAAGCCTTGAGTGAGGCCTTGGGTTTGCCACTGTTCTTGTCCTCCCTCGTTTTAGATTGGAATCTGATTTACCACAAGCAGCCTGGTCAAAGGTGCTTCTTGCCTAGGATCCCCTCTGGGCAGGAGCTAGGAGACCCAGAATGGCCCTCCCTATCTGGAACCCATTTTTACTAAACAGGAGCCCAGAGGAAAATAGCTACTTACAAGCCTGGTCAATGCCATGAAACATTACCCCCAGGTTCTGCAGAGACTAGAATTCTCTCAGAATTCTTGCTAGATCCAGACAAGGCTTTGTTGCTTTCCCCACATATTACTCACTGTAAGCAGAAGCTGAGTGAAATCAAGCAGGCAAGCAGGAAAGAACCGCAGCTGTAACCTACGAGACGTTCTGTTATGTTCTAGATAAGCAGGGAGAAAGCCTGAACAAGAGGACGGAACTCCCACTGCTCTCAGACAGATCTCAGCCCCGGCAGCCCCAGCCTTGCATCACCACTGGAATGAAGCAGGAGTTGAGTGTGTGTAACCCTGTTGGGATGTTTAATCACTACAACATGTTCCAAAAGATTCCAGCATTCATGCTGGAAATGATGAATCAGCTTCCTCCACGTGGGAAGCAACATGTCAAAGTCATGAGAAGCCACTGCCTGAGGGCACCAACCTGATTCTGAGGAGCAGTCCATATTCCAGAGCAGCTGCCTAGTCCCCAAAACCAGCAAATGAAGCAGAACTTTGCACGTAACATAAGCAGGCCTGGAATTTTCCAACAAACACATGACTACAATGTTATTACTCATAAGACAGCCAAGCTTCATAATTCCAAAGACAGAAGAATCAAGGAAAATAATTAGGTTTCCAAAACTTGACTTAGGTTTTACAAGTACAGAACTCTTCCACAAGCAGGTACTGTAAAAATTCTGTGTAATTCAAAAGCTAACAAAAAAAGAGAGTAAACAAGACAGTCAAAATGCTAGGGGGAACATCTCAGAATGTTTGTACAGAAAGAACAAAATATGCAATTAAGTAAATTAACACAAGCAGATTCCCTTCAACCATAATTTAAATTTTGGGTGAGCGTGATTGGATTGTTTTATAGCAATGCATGCTATAACATTTATTGGGTTTTTTTAATATCACTATCTAGAGGATGCACTGCAGTCATAACATGCTATGTTGGCACGATGCTGCATCCAGGATGCAATCAGAACTCATTAAAATAATAGTTATGGTAAGTACAACTACCGTGGTTGTATGACATGTCTGATGCAGATAACCTACCATGTACTGAGTTCCTTATCACTGTACCCATCAAAGGAAGCCTTTTAAGTGATAAAATTATTATTTGAAAGTTAATGCAACATTTGATTATGTTAACTGGCCTCAACATAAGCAAGACAAGGTTGGTACTGCCTGACAACAGATTCAGGTCAGATGAAAGGAAGTGCTTCCTCATACTATGGCTAATTAACTCATGGCACTCACTATCACAAGATGTGGTTACGGCCACCAGACGACTGTAAAACAGGACTAGACAAATGCATACAGAATAGTTGTATTTGTGGCTGTTAGGCATGACAGCTAAATGGAAAATCTTCACATTCAGCAGGGCATATATGTTATTTGAGAAGAACTATTGTGACTATTGTTCCTTCTTCACAGACCTTGGGTTGAAGCTAACATAACAGCAGCTTGCCAAATTTAAGGCCAACTAGTTTGGTCCTAGAAGAGGTAACATCCAAACTAGGGATCTTCCTGCTTTACATCTCCATTTTTTAACAGTCAGAAGAATGAATCAAATGTTCTGTCCTACTTCATCAGAGCCCTGGGCCCTTACTCAGATAATTCCAGAGCACTCTAATACGGTATATAAAGCAAGCTATGTGCATTGTGCATCTTCCCGTTTAACAAGAGTTAATTCTCTAACACGGAATGTTAGTAAAATGTGTGGTGTTAGGGGGACATGAAGTGTAAGTACCTTAAGTACTGCGAGGACTCCTTGGGTACACACCCCCTGCAGGTTCACTGTCAGTGAAAACAAATCACTCACTGTTAGCAACTTTTTTTGCTCTCACTGCACAAGTGTCCCTAGTGCAGCATGGTATTTCCCACAGCAGTGAACAGTACCACTTACTTATATGGGAGAATTTAAGGGGCGGACCCCATGACACTACAAAGGCAGGAGCTAAAGTGCCTCCTGTCACTGGTGACCCCAGTCACTGAGCTTCAACCCTGCTCCACCTGCACAGCCTCATCTTGGGTTTGGCTTTCTGGTCATGTTAAAGTGAGACAGAACTTCATTTTTACACTTACACAAGTCAGTAAGTATGCTGTGTTTCTGCTTTATTTTTAACCCGCAACAGGAAAACCCAGGCTGCAAAGAAGGAAAAGATAAAACAAAACTGGAAGTGTGCATAGGCAGCCCACACACTAGGAATTTTAAATATTGTTACAGATTTGTTCCGGATTAGCATCTGATGTGGGTACATTAAGAATCTGAAATATTTTTCCTAGTCCCACAAAAGGGGACTGTATGGGGTTTCCAGTGAACTGCAGCCAGTTTGTCTGCATGTTCCTGCACTCTTTCCTCCCTCAAGCTCTTCTCCTTTACACTTTCTCCACCTCTCCACTCCCTTCTTTAAAAAAGAAAATCTGCCCCACTTTATATGAGGAATCCAGGATACTGGTCTAGGGGAGTTTTTGTTTTGTGTTTATGACACTGACCAACGAAATTTCAGAATTACCGAAGTGAAGTTATCCAAGCCCCAAAACTTCAGCAGAATGGCCACCAAACTCCCTCATTTTAAAAAATCTATAGTCTACAGAACACGCATGTTAATGAGAAAAAGTTCATTTATTTATTGAAACAGTTTACTTAGAATTTCGGGACTGCTGGAAATCTTTCAACACAGAAACCCAGAAAACCCTTGATTATGAGGCAGATGTCCTTCTGGATACCTCTGCTTCAGCCAGTATTTCTGGGCTTAAATTCAATGGTACATAATTGGAGAACCTGATTTAGATAATCTGCTCATCCTTAGAATTTCTTGGATTCTACGCTTGCCATTTCCCAGCAGCAACTCCTACTGGCTATTAATGGTTAGCTGCTGCTACAATGATATAAACTTTAACTAGAGTTTTTTTCTTCATCCAGAAATCATTGACAGCAGGGGAAAATCCTTGTTTGAAGAACCACCACAGCTAGAACATTGCAAATTCCAGATTCATTCAGCTTTTCAGGTAAATACATAACAAAAGTATACAGCTGTATGTGGTCTCCAAGATACCCAAGGACTAAGATACTCTGGACTGGCTACCAAACCAACACATGGAGCGCATAACGTAAAGAGTTGCAGCCACACAAGCTGGGCCTATCAGGGAATCTCCATATGTTTGTCATGGAATCTCTGAATACTATAGAGGAACCGGGGAACTGTTCTGGTATGTACAGTTTACATGAGACACAAGATGGCCTTCACTATTACAAAGTGTAAGCTCACAGTGTGAACCAGAACATTATGACTCAATAATGCCTGGGCCCCTTACAGGAGACACTCTGTCTTTCAGGAAGAGCATTTGCTATTATTGAGTTTTCCACTGAGAAACTCTTCCAAGGAATCCCAGAGTTCCCTGAAGTATGGTTTGAAGACTACTGATTTTCTTAAGTGACTGAAAATGAGATATAGGCTTCCTTTGGACAATGGCTGCAACACTCAGATGTACAAAAATGAGCCAGGGACAGAAACATGTACAAGATTCGTTTTGTAATTCAAGAAGAAAGAGTCATTCTTCAAATGCTGTGAGCACAGGCAACAAGCTGCTTCAGCCCAGCTTCTAAATGTTCCAGGTATTCAAGAGGCCTGAGCATTCCAGTGCAGTTCTGAAATATCAACGGGAACTCTCCTTCTTTGGAGGTTTTTAAGCAGAGGCTAGATGGCCATCTGACAGCAATGCTGATTCTGTGAACTTAGGCAAATCATGAAAGGGAGGGCAGGGAGGGTTGCTTCAGTGCTTAGTTCTCGTGGCCCTTTCTTACATGTCCAGGGAAATGCCAATCATCACTTTGGGGTAAGGAAGCAATTTTCTCCAAGCCAGTTTGCCCAGGGATCCTGGATGTTGTTGTTTTTTGAGGTCATCTTCTGGGCATGGAGCAGGGGTTACTGGACATGTGGAGGAGGAGGTAGTTGTGAATTTCCTGCATTGTGCAGGGGGTTGGACTAGATGACCCTGGAGATCCCTTCCAAATCTATGATTCTATGGAAGTAGCCACTGGAAAAACAAAAACAAAATAGAACTTCACTTCAAGGTAGCAAGTGCACCTTGTTGGATTGGAGAACTACAGCTCTGAATATTTTACATATACAGGCTATAAGTAGTCCCAGTCTGTAGTACCCAAACTATACTGTAGGCTACACTATGGTGTGTTATATGGGTTATGCCAGTCTAAGAACTTGCTGCACCCAAGCAGCAAGGTGAGCAAAAGGCTGTCTTCAAAATGATGATCAATTCAACCCAGTACCTTGTTACATTTTCCCTGTATAACCACATCTCGTTAGTATTTTCCAGTTTATTCTGGTGTTATGTCAAATGGGGCCAAGAGGACTCAACACAACTTGATCTCAAGACCATCATCATAAACTCAGCCTTCTCTGATTTGCCTGCTTGTACAGTTTTCTGATCTGCCTATGTCATTTTTTATTCATGCACTCCAGTAATAGCAGAAACAGTAACAAAAGGTAACTGTCATTCACTGATGTCTCATCAAGCTGCTAATGGAGTGGGAAGGAAGAAGGCACCTTAAGCAGATAAAGCCAGTGTGGTATAGTGATTATACTATTGAGGCATAATCCAGGAGACCCAGATTCTAATCTCCACCTGCCAGGGATCTCACTGGGTGATCTTGAGCCAGTCACTTTTTCTCATCCTCATTCACCACATAGGTAGTAGAGATAAAATTGGGTGAGAATGTTCACCACCCTCACCTCCACAGAGGAAAGGCAACATAAATTTTTTATTTTTTATTTCATTGATTTATAACTTGCCTTTTGTAGCTTACATCATTCTCCTCTCCATTTTATCCTCACAACAACCCTGTGAGGTAGGCTAGGCTGAGGGTCTCCCAGCGAGCCTATGCAGAACGAGTGGGGGTTCAAACCTGGGTCTTCCAGATACTAGGCCGAGACTCTACCACTAGGCCATACTGGCTCCCTAAATGTAGCAGACAGATTCAAGAAACCTCTCTATCTATTCTAACAGGCAGACTCTCTTCACTGTCTTAAGGAAAGGTATTTATTTATTTATTATATTTATAACCTGCCCTCCCCGCAAGCGGGCTCAAGGTGGCTCATATTTCCCAGCTCGATTACTGAAAACCTTTAACTGGAGATGCCAGGGACTGAACCTGGAACACTCCACATACAAAGTGTGTACTCGGCCACTGAGGCCCACACAAAACTGGCATACAACTACAATGAAAGTCACCTCCTCCAGTGGAAGGGAGCTGTTCCTTATTCATTTAATTTAAATAACCCATTCTTCTGTTAGAAAGCTCAAAGCAGCTCTCATGGAGCTCAATCCATTCTAATTTTGCAATGAAGATAGATTTAGGTGGAGTAGAGGTTCTGTTCCACTGTATCTGATGAAGTGTACTTGCACATGAAAGCTTATACTGTGAATAAAACTTTGTTGGTCTTAAAGGTGCCACTGGACCCAAACTTTGTTCTGCTAATTTTGCAATGTTATAGTCAAACCTTTCAGGGAAGATTATTGTGTAAAAAAACCCCTCTGAATAAAGTTAGTATTTAAATGAGGGTATGCAGTCTCATCACCAACTTCAACTCCATAAACAATAACACGGACATACGTATGGGTGTGCATTATATAGGTCATGGCTCTTTAATGGTGGTTACATCCTACTGACTGTGGGTCACACAAGCAACACAACCACAGTTTAAGCTTCTAAGCTGTATTGATTTTTAAAGGTGAATATATGGACAAAAGATAAAGACAAATCTATATAGGAAAAAAAATTAAAAGCAAATCTCATGCTGCGGCTTGTATGTAGGGAGTCATCCTGGGCCTGACAAGGTGATGACCACAGATATAGGCAGAGGGTATGTGTGCAGGCCGAGCGCCTTCAGCAAATGCCACCTCCTATTCCACCATCTACAGGTCACAGACATTTATATGGCACTCAAGTGAAGAAACTGACCTCATGACAAAGGTGTCTTGCTGGCACTTAGCAGGCTTCTTCATACAGTCTTATCTATACCCTGCCTATCTCCCTGATAGGTGGCTAACATCATTAGGTTAGGCTAGGGATCCAAGGTTATACAGATAATTTCCATGGTAGAGTGTAGAATTTGAACCTGGGTCTCCCAGATCCTAGTCTGACATTCTAATCACACCACACTGGCTCTCTTAAGGCTTTATCAGTACAAACTGATATTCTGACATGTATTTATATGTTACAGGTGCATGTTACAGCTGTCACCCGCTTCTAAGAAACTATGCGTCTCAATTATTTGTGTTTATTCAGAAGTAATTCCCACTGTTCAATGGAGCTTACCTCGAAGTAAATTTTCATATGATTGTACCTTTAGTTGATTAAACATATTAATTTTAATTGATCAGTTAAATCTGTCCAAGTAAAAGCAATGTTACAAAGGAAAAGGCATACTCTCTCTTTGGGAACAGTCAGAACCTTTCAGCCTAACCTACCTCACAGGTCTGTTGTGAGGTCACAAAGACTTTGGAGTGACGTGTGCTGCCTTCGGCTCCTTGCAGGTGTTCTAGAACAAAAATGCAGCAAATAGGTTTCAGTGTGAGAGACGGAAATACATAACTTAGTGCCAGCTGGATCGTGCCTATTACTCTTAACATTTATACAGCATAATATCCATATTCACCTATCCCTATAACTACAGTGGTATGTATGATAGGTAACAGCATAGACTCTCACATCTACAGTAGTGTATGCCTGTGTGTCTATAGTATTCTCACACATAGATGTCTGCAATATATATAGATAGCATAATATAAATCAAAGGAGCATTGATCCTTATACCTATATATATGTTGTTCTGTGCATTCATAGCACACAATATACACTTATAGCTGTACAGACAGCTTAATATCTAGCACAGATACATTTGTATGTATTATACTATCACTTTGTCCATGGATGTGCAAGAGAAAAGAAGCATACATACCAGAGAATCTGTGACTGAGGCACACAATATAAAATACCTTTCTAAACACAGACACATCACAGGCTTGTAAAGCATGTTCACATATCTTCTTGTGGAATAGATTAAGTGGGCTCTAGTCCATGAAAATTTACACTACAAAAAAAACCCCTTGTCTTCAAGAGGTCACAAGATTCCTGTTTAAATCTGCTACAACAGACTAACACAGCTACCCTGTTTACATGCTACACTGAACACATCTGCATAAGAGTCAACATATGTTCACTTTGCACACGGACCCAGGGACTAGTCCCTGGATAAACACAGGGTTTCAATCACAGGTTCAGGGCACAGATGCACTGAATGTAACCGATACTCCCTCTAAGCTGTGGAGTCTTGTGAGCAAAAATTCTACTTTGTGAGCTACCGGTATTAAAGTTGTGAGCGAACGATTTGGCTTCTGCATAAATTATTTTGCTCAGGAGCCATCCTTCCTGAGCTAAGACAAAAACCTGTAAGCTGGAGCCTGGAGGCTAAAAAATTGTGAGAGCTAGCTCACACTGACTCAGCTTAGAGAGAACACAGAATGTAACGTGAGAGCTAGTCAACACGTGTATGAAGAATAATCAAGAACACACTGAATACAGACTATATGTACGTTTAACGTCACTTGTGAACAGAGCTTATATCTAGACGTCTTTAGGCGCTTGTGCATCATTCTCACACCCACCCACGTGTATCTGCGAGGGTCGGGTTTCCTCTCACCCACTCACAGGCGGAAGAAGAGATCCGTCAGCTACCCAGCCAGGCCTCTCGAGAGTCGGAGGGGAGAGAGGAAAGGAGGCGGGCCTTCCTCAATCCGCCAGACCCCTGGGGGAGCGCGGGCGGAGCACTCACCTGTCGCCTCAGCCGCTTCCCCGCCCCTCCCCCACCGGCCGAGGGACAGAAGGCGGCGCCAATGCCGAAGAAACCGCGTCTGCGCACCCTCGCGAGCACGCGCACGTCACCGTTCCTTCAACGTCAACGCGTCGAGACCAGGGCCAAACCGCTACCGTTGTAGGACCCGCGCCCACGCTATCGATCCCCGTCCCTCTGAAGGCCCGCCTTCTCCTCCCTTCCCGCAGCCAATCGCCGCCCGCCTTTCCGGAGCTCAGAAGAGGCCAATGGGAGAACTGTTTGTCGGTGACTACCGCTGCGCGTGCGCAAAGGGGCTCGCCTGTTCTCCAAAGAGACACGTCGCTTTTCCGCTGCACCTGCTGGAAGAAGGAAGTCGATGGATACGGACTGCCTCCTCCTGGAACGGCAGCACCACGTGTCTTTTGAAAAGCACGCCCCTTTAACCCCTGATTGTGCTCTATGAGTTGTTGATAGGTTTTTAATAGGGGAAGGGTGTGTTGTGCACGGTTTTTCAGATAGAATGGCTTTTCAATTTCATACCCACTTGAGCCAACGGCGGGTGGAAGACGAGAGGAGCCTGGAATTTTAGTCGAGCAACATATTGGGATCAAGAACAAATTCCAGAGGGTTTGTCAGTTGTTGCGGCAAACATAAGAAAGAGTAACATCCATTAGACCTTTTTGTTAAGGTAAAGGTTTCCTTTGCTCGAAAGCCAGTCGAATCCGACTCTAGGGATGCGGTGCTCATCTCCGTTTCCAGACCGAAGAGCCAGCGCTGTCCAAAGACGTTTCCGTGGTCATATGGCTGTTATGACTAGATGCTCAGGCGCACGGAGCGCTGTAACCTTCCCATCTACTTGCAATTTCTTGCTTTTCGAACTGCTAGGTTGGCAGGAGCTGGGTCCAGAGACGGGAGCTCACTCCGTCATGCGGCACTCGGGTCTCGAACTGCTGAACTTCCGGGTCCTTCCGAAAAAGCTAGACTCGGGTTTCTTCTATCTGATAGAAACCCCAAAATTACCCACCAAGTAGCCAGTTTCTGTATGGTGATACTCAGATCACGGAAACTCTAAGGTAGCTAGTTAGATATAGTTGTTTGATATTAGATTAAATTTTAATTTGCTTTAAATGTGTCACTGATGTATCTTAAAATCTTGGAATATTGTAAAGGTGTACTTCTTTTTGTATGACTGGTCTAAGGACTGTAGAAATAAATTGAAATTGAACTGCTGAACTACCGACCTTCTGGTCTGCAGTTCAGTGTCTTAACCACTTGAGCCACCGCAGCTAAGGTGCAACAAAACTCTTTTAATATGTATGCAGGGTTTTTTAAAATTTAAAATGCTATGACATCTAATAGTAAAACTGTGTAGTTCATGCCACCACAAAAGCAGCAAACCCCACATGCACCCAGGACGCCTCAGCTATGCAGAAAATTACAAGAAGACTTTGTAAATTAATTCATATAAGACTCCCTCCCCCCATGGTCTGATGAGGACTGGCCATACCCCAGGAGGCACAGAATACGCAAAGTTAAAGGAACAATAAAGAGAAGAAGATAAAGAGATTGGCTAGCTCAAGCCACTAATAGTTTATATATTCTTGGGGAGGAGGATTTATGGTAGAATTAGAGCTTCTGATTGACATCGTCTAATAAAGGAGAGACCACCACTCTTCTATTGTTCCACTGTTGATCTATTAGTGTAAGTTTTTCTGCACATTTAACTGCAATGGGACCACCTGTCATTTATGATCTAGTGTTGCCCCCTGGAGCAGCAGAGAAGTAACTGCTGTCTTCTGACAAGCTGTCAGGTTTTTGAAGACCACACACATATTCCCTTCAGCTTTATTTAGGCTAAGCCTCTCTTTGTAGGAATTGTTTTCTAGAATCATAACTAATTTTATCCCTCTTCCCTGAAGCTGTTCCAATTTGTCTACACCAAAACCTCCAAAGAAAGTTTAGAAAACTAGTAAGAGGCCAAAAATTAAAAATATCAATAATTACAGACAAAAGTACACGTGTTTATTTCAAAAACAGTTAAAAACTTTGTAGGGGCCCAAGTAAAACCTCATGATATAGTCAAGTGACAAATGCACAAAAGAAACCATATATGACCTGGCGCGTTTCAGCCTAAAAGAGCCTTCTTCAGAGGTCAAATAGTACAGAATACAACATACAACAAAGCCCTTATTACACGTGTAAGTTAGTAAACAATCAATATAGGCCCCAAACAGGAATGTTCTAGTCTGAAATTGATTGGCACAAAAAGATACATGAAGCCACAATTGTATCTGGCCTTATGTCAGTGGCAGTTAACATATAGGAGAAAATGATATTGCTAATATGTACCTTGAGTGGTGGCTCAAGTGGTTAAGATGCTGAACTGCAGGCTGTGGAAAGTTAGTAGTTCAGCAGTTCGAGACCCAGGTGCCGCAACGCAAGACGGAGTGAGCTCCCGTCTTTAGTTCCAGCTCCTGCCAACCTAGCAGTTTGAAAGCAAGAAATTGCAAGTAGATAAATAGGGACCACTTCGGTGGGAAGGTAACAGCGTTCCGTGCGCCTTGGTGTTTAGTCATGCCGGCCACATGACCACGGAAACGTCTTTGGACAGCGCTGACTCTTCAGCTTTGAAACGGAGATGAGCACTGCAACCCTAGAGTCGGATTCGACTGGCTTTCGAGCAAGGGAACCTTTACCTTTTACCTTCCAGTTTAGGTCCTAAGATTAGCAGTACAATCACCTTATTAGGGTCAATGAAACATCAGTATGTATCAGTCAGTTTGTCTACAGCCTTAAAAGGTGCAGGACACAGTATTCCAGATGAGATCTGTCTAGTGCTGAATAGAATGCAACTATTATTTCTTGAGGCTTCTGTTAATAAAGGCTAAAATCACATTAGCTTTTTGTGAAGTCACATCTCATCTGCTGACTCCTGTTCTGCTTGTGATTGGCTCGCATGCAATCATCAGATCCTTTTCACAAGCACCAGTGCTAAACTAGGTTCCCTCTTCCCGCCTACACTTGTGCACTTGAGTCTTTTTGTCTAAATGCAAATATTTGTACGGTATGCATTGAATTTCATTACCCCAGCATTCCAACCTATCAAGATGATTTTGAGTTTTACTTCTGTCTTCTGAGGTGTTAGGCAATCCTCCTCGCTTTGTTGCCCCTTCACTCCTTCACCAAAGTAATTGATAAAAATATTGCAGCATCCTGTGCCTGGGACTGAGCCCTACAGCCCCCCACTTGAAACCCCTGTACAGATTTATGATTGGTTGTCAGCTATGCTGCCATGATGTTTATGGGCCAGGGTTCCTTTGCTTGACCTGTGTACCAGCCGCTGCTGCATTTCTTCTTTGCTTCTGTACTGCTTTATTATCAATGACCTTGGAGATTGCCGGTGTGGTGTCTAGGCATCACGTAGCCGTGGGATCGCTTTCGATTCCCAGCCTCGGCTCTAACGGTCTGGGGCCCCTTCTCCCACACGCGGGAGTCAGGCCAATTGGCCTATGGATGGGTGTGTGTGCATACGAATACCCTATATCCCATTCTGCTTGTAGAAACATCGCCATTCCTAACAGTGACCATGTTACTGCATCTATAGCTCTGCAATAAAATATAACCTTTCTGACAAGCGTGTACTCAGTTGTTGGCTGTGGAACCTGACATTGGTGAGCACTCGAAGTATGGTTCTTAAAACAACTGTGATGTGATACTGTCATCTCGCTCACATTTAAGCAGTTTGCTAAACAAAAAAGTTATTGGGGACTTTGTCAAATTCGTCGCTGAAATCTAGATACGTATCATGAACTTGTGGAAGGGGGACCCAAGTGGAAACGTTATTGTACTCTCAAGAGCCAAATAGAACTAGAACTTGAAAACACTCATGCTAAGAGGCTGAATCCAGAAACTTCCTAGTATAGCAAGCCAGAGAGCCAATACATCATTTATTATGTCCAGAGCATTCCCATGGCCCACTAAGCTAGTAACCCAATCTGAAACAGATAAGATTAGTCTGGGAGGATTTCTTCTTGACAAATCCATTCTGGCTTCTGCCAGTCACTGCATGAGACACTTAACAGACTGATAGCTTTACAATCAGTTCCAGTATCACCCCTCATACTGAAATCAGACTGACCAATGTTTTCCAGATTCCTCTTCTTCCTCTTTTGAAGAATGGGAAAACATTTGCCCCTCTACAAACTAGTGGCCCATCACCACCCCTCCAGGATTGATCAGAGATGAGAGAGGCTCTGTGACTGCATTAGCAAGTTCCTGTAGCACCCCTAGGACACAATTCATATAGTTCTGAAGCCTTGAACTCATGTAAGGTAATTTAGATATTTTCCTTTCCAGCTCCTTCTCAATCTTGTGCTGCAGTCCTGACCCTTCACAATTCATGCTTCTTTTACAAGGCTGCACGCAGCTCCCCTTTTGGGAGAAGGTAGAGGCAAAAGAAGAGTTGGGAAGTTCTGCATTATCTTAACCATTTCACAGTCCTCCCTAGATACCAGGTTTTCTGTTTCTTCCCTCCTCCTTCAAACATAGCAGGAAAAGCCTGTTTTATTAGTCTTAGCATCACTTTCTAGCCTCCACCCATTTTTTTTTATTTACTTCATTTATTCCAGAAAGCATTATACATGTCCTCTCATTGGTTGGGCAGTCTGTAGTAGATGCCAGCCACAAAACTCCTTTTATTCCAGCTGTTAATATTTACTCAGATGCTAGCAACAGGACTACCATGTGAATTCTTCTGAATTTCTCTGCAGGTGTATACATTTTTTTTTACATATAACACTACTCCACTTCTTTTGCATCATGTGCAACAATTCATATTCCATTGCTGCATTCCAATCACGGCAGTCATCTCTCCCCAAGTTTCAGAGACAGCAAGATCATATTTACTTCCCTCCACTAGGAGTTCAAGCTCACTGTGTATTGCCCCTCCCCCCGTGCAGAAATCCTCACAGCAACCTGGTTTGCTAGTTGTGATTTTATATCCTAATAAATATTTGAATCAATCCATTGGCATTTAAGAGATATGCAGCCCATCTCTTCCTTACTCAGAAGTAAGTCCCACTGGGTTTGGGATGCATACAGACGACTGGTTCACTAAATCACTAAATCGAACAAAATAAAATTAATAATGATAAATAATAAATGATTTCCCCTGTACCACTGCTGGAATGGGAGCTCAGATCCAGT